GGGACATGGGGCAACCCGCGGGGTCCTGCTTGTCTACCGGGGGCTTTTCTGCCCTGCTTGTGCATGCGTTGGGCGATGCCGACTCCCGAGGAAGGGCAGCCACGCTTCCGATGACTGGATCCGGGCATGAATCCTGGCTGTCCTGTGCCACTGGCATGGACAGCACAGCACAGTTGCCCTCCATTTTGGAGCTGGTCTTATTATACTGAGCACGCTGAGAGGAAAACAAAAGGATCAGAAAGAAATAAGGAGAACAGAGTAAAGGAGAGGAGGAAGAAAATATAGAGCTGATGCTGAAGGACAGGGGAGAGAAGAATTCCCGTACTAATGCCCACATGACCATCCCTTTCCTCTCTTCTACTCTACCACCAACCTTGTGATCCCCAATGCTCCAAGAGTTGCAGTCAGCATGTGACACATATGCCAAGTAGCTGACAGGCACAAGCACACTCCCTGCAGTTTTCCAGCTCTCATCCACACTCCAGCAGCTCACACTGCTGCTCTCCAGCAAAACCAACTGCCAAAACCTGCACAAGCACAACCTCACTATCTAACTGCAGCACGTCCTCAGTTCAACTCCACCATCACTGACCAAACATCAGTTCTCTCATCCCTCATACTTTCAAGCAGTTCCACACACAGTAACACTTCTTGCCTCCTTCCAGTGCACTTCCATACAGCCACACAGTTATCACCAGAGCATCACTCCACCCATCTGCATCACACCTGCATGGGCAAATATGCTTTTATGGCCCCACTTCGTCAAAAGACACCCCAACAACTAACAGAGAGCTAAAAAACAGCCAACAGAGCACAGATCCCTTTGAGCATTATTCCTGAAGGCAGGACTAAAACAGAGCTCTAGTTCTGCCTAGGCTCAGCTGTACCCATCCAAGATGAAGCACTGACCTTTCCTCTTTGAATACCATAAAAGAGAGCTTGTTACCCCAGCCAAAGCCTTCTTCAGGGAAGCAGAGATAATCAGAGACCAACGATCCTTCTACCCGAGCGCCTGCCAGGGAGCAGAAAGAGCTCTTCTGCTCAAAGCACATTCTCCAGCTCCTCTGTCATGGCAGCTCACAAAAATAGCTCTCAAGGGCTGGGTGGTGATGACGCTGGCAGCTGAGAGGCTCAGGAATCTCTGGGGCCCTTCCCAAGCCCCCAGCCCAACCTAAAGCAGTGGTTGGCAGGGCCCTAGTTCATATCCTATTTCCTCAGACCATGAAGCCTGTGTGACCCTTAGACATTTTGCTGTTGTAGCTATGTGACTTTTCAATGTAAAAACACCTACCAAAAAACCCAAATAAAATCCTCCCAATTCCAACCTTCTTTTCCCAGCATGCCAAAACTACACCAGCAAGAGTTCCAAGTGCAAATCAAGTTACGCCAGCCAAAAAGCACTTTCAGGAACATTATTTGCTCACTGGGGATGCTGTAGTGGAAGCAGTCCCAGGCACCCACCACCACACACTGGGTCTGTTGGTGCTCCGGGCAGGCCCCTTGACACCACCACCACTGCCCCTTGCAGGCAGAAGAGCACAAACACTGACCACCAGGCTCCAGGAGAATCCCACCACCCCCAAGGCTGACTCTGCTTTGCACAGAGGGAAAAAGCAAACAATGCTTTTAGGGCATTGTAGAGATGGGCACCTCATCCAGCCTGCATGAAGTCTGATAGTCCATGGGGAGCATCAGCCCCTGTTTTGTTCATGGGAATGATGGGAACTGAGCTCCATCTACCCCTCGCTTTAACGTGCAGTGCTGCTGCAGCATGTGCCAGTGCAGGATGCTTTGCTCCCCCCACTTCATGGGGGCTATTTTTATCAGACAAGCAGCAGTTTCTATTTGGGGTAAGCAAAGATTTGGGCAATGCCATGTGCTTTTCCCAGCCCTGCCTCTGTCACTCAGGCAGGACCATCATATTTTACCCTGTATCCACCAAGGCTGCCCCAGCCACCGAAAAATCTAATTTGAAACCTCATTGACAAGTGCAAAGATAGAATCCATGGCAAGAAGCTGAAGAGAAACAGATTCAAGCCAGAAAGTGCAGATTGTTAATGAACTGACCACTGACACACTGCTGAGAGATGTGAAAGTCTTCTCCATTTCTTACAGTCATGATTCTAAATGTTTTGCTGTGGCTAGCAGCAGTCATACATGGCTATGGCTTTCAAGCCTGTACTGTGGAGCAGACAGAGGCTACAACAGCTCTTTTATTAGGTAATGGCAGTACCCAGCCATCTGAAACTCTGCAGACATCAAGTAATTGAGAAGCTGGCACAGCCCGAGGGCATCACCCAGACCAGCATTTCCATGCAGCTTTCAACTGGAGTTTTGCATTGGGGTTTTAGAGGTTTACAAACAAAGCAGGCTTGCAGTTTAGCTAGCCCTTGTTCTTCTGGCTCACAAAAGGCCCAATACACAGCGATAAAGATTAACCCAAGACAGACACCATCTGCCCCGTCTGCAGGGGCCATACTTGGGAAACCACGGGACAAATTCCACACACAATCCATGACAATCCATGTGCACCTCCTGCTCAGAATTGTGAGAACAGCAGGGCCTGAGACTCCCTTGCAGAGAGCTGAGCAGCACCAAAAGATGTGCAGACACTGCTTAAAGGAGGATGTACATGTGAGAACGTTGGCCTAGAGACAGGGAAAGTGCTATGGGAACCAGGCAATAGCATCAGTCATGTAACTGAGTGGCCCTGTCTGACAGCCTGCTAACTGAACCCTGTGCTTTTCTGCTGGCCAGACACGACACTGATCTGTGCCCGAGTCAGTAACCAAACAGGCCAGGGGCAGCTCCTGAGGGAACACCAGAGCCTCCCTGTCCTTGCAGCCCACATCTCCCTGCACTCAGGATCAAACAGAGCAAAGACAGGGCTGAGCAAAAGACAGCTGGAAAAAGATAAGCGTGGGTACCGACTGGCTCTTCCCCCAAAATGGCACATGTTATAGATGCCACCCATACAGCCAGGCATTCCAGCGTGTTCGGCCCTGCATTCCAGCAGCCAGCATTCCTGGCTGACATGGACTGCTCTGCACACAAATGCTGCTCTGCTCTGGACGACACCAGGGTTGCCCAGCAAAGAGGCAGCTGCCTGCATGGGGCTGTCTCTCCCCTTGTTTCCAGCTGCTGAGTTACACCAAGAGATGCTAAAAATATATTAAACCTTTTCCTGATAATCCTTTGCTGTGTGAACAGCCAGGAGAGAAACCCCAAAAAGCTGGGGAGTATGGGAGGAACAAAATGAGGCAAAGCTGGAGACAAAGCATGTCTCTAACCAGTGTGAAAGCAGAAGAGGAAGAGGGGCTGAAGTCAAAGAGAGGATAGATGAATATCAGAGGAGACCTGTCTGGATGGAATGAGAGATGATCCTGAAACAACAGAATAGGAATGCACAATCTGATGGTGGCAGCAAAGGGTGGTCTTGCTGCAATAAGAGGAAAGGAATGTGTGTGAAGACAGAATGTGCATGAAGGAGCAGGGAGAAACCTACTGGAATAGGTATGATGCAGGGAAGGTAAAGCATGACCAAAGGAAACAAGGATGGAGGGGTGGGATTTTAAACAACACAAGGGAGAGAGATGACTTTGTAACCTGTGAAGTCTGTGCAATGTGCATTTTCTCTTAGCTGAGCTGCCACCGTATACCAGGGGCTAAAATGCAGGTTCCAGAGGAGGCATAGCCAAGGCTATGTCAGGGCTAAGCCGTAACATGCAATCACTGCCACTTTGCCTCCTGCAGTCCCAGATGGATCTTCATGTTCTATTAAACCCTCTGGTATCAGCACCCAGCATCCCTTCTCCTTTCTGAGTACCACTTCATGGTGAGTTTACAGCTAAGCCATGTGCACAACACTGTCATCTTCTGAGTCAGGAATAATGTTTCCCTCCCTCCTCTGCAACTTTCAGTAGCTGCCTCCTTCCATGATACATCCCCTGCACTCTCCCATTCATGTCTTCTGCTGCTGGGCTGTTCTCTCTGCCTGGTTTAAGACACTTCCTTTGGCATCTCAGCAATGACACAGGCCAATTGAATGCGACCTGGCTCTCTGCTCTGCTCATTTCTTTGTTCTACTGTTTTGTGGCCACTTCCTGCCTCAGACAGTGTCAAAGTCCACCACAGTTCTGCTTCCTGGTTCTCCTCTGTGGAGATGTTACCTCTCACCCAGGACAAAAGGCAGTAGAACAACCACAGCCCACCCCAGGGACCCACAGGCCCCACTTACAGTGCGATTGACTCTCTGTAGGCCAGTACTGGGCAAAGCAGCCAGGGTCCGGTAGTCCAGCCTCAAAGGTTCACTGGTGATGTTCTGCAGAGAGAGGAGCACAAAAACACAACCACCAGGAACAGATCAGGCCTGAAGTCAACTACATCAGCCAGAAAGAGCAATTAAAAGGAAACCACCTCTAGTAATAACCAAGGCCCGGTCTCCAAACTCTGCAGGAAGTTCCCATTGCATGGAAATGAAGCTGGAATTGTTCCAACACAACCATGAGGACCCAGGACAGGGACAAGGCTTGAGAAATCCTGCAGATAACATGATCCCCTGGCCCTTGGTCACCCACCAGTGTACGGATCCCCCCATTCCTCCTGCCCCATGTGTACATGTCCATCCCTCACAGGGGAGAGGAGAACATGACATACATACCCGTCTTCTCCACATAGCACCCAGAAAGGCTTCCAAATTGGATCTGGAGGCACGTGAGAGTGCAAATCTACAATTCCTCTACAGCATCTTTTCTCAACCTTAACTCACACTTACTGTGTTATTTCATTGAATTTTGTTTCCCATTTGCCTTTCTACTTCTAACCATTGCTTTTCACCATTCCTTCCTGAATCCTATTACAGTACAGATTTCCTCATTTCTGGTATCTTCTCTTACACTCCAAAATCAAGTCTGTTGGGGGGATGCAGGGAATGGAGAACATAAATGATGTGGAACAAGCACTTCTAGAGATTTCCATGTCCCTTTTCTGTGACTCTCCAACCCTCCCACCGTGCTCCTCACCTCTGCCTCCTCCTCAAGCTGCTGGGTGGCTGCCTCCCGCT